CAGAGAGGAGAGGTACTCCCTCGTACCTGGCCGCCATCTTGTTGATAAGGCTTTGTTTTTCCTAGTTTAATTGATTATTTCTGTAATTGGATGCCCTGACGTCAGACTGTTTGGTTAAGGGTATAAAGATACTAGGATTGATTGTATTAGCCAGCCTCACTCGGCCCGGTGTACCTGTCCGCCATCTTGTTGATAAGGCTTTGTTTTTCCTAGTTTAATTGATTATTTCTGTAATTGGATGCCCTGACGTCAGACTGTTTGGTTAAGGGTATAAAGATACTAGGATTGATTGTATTAGCCAGCCTCACTCGGCCCGGTTTTGCTTGGACCATGTTTGGCTCACTTTGCTTTTATTGGCCAATAAAACTGTCTGTTTAGCCGTGTAAACTGAGTGAAGTCTTTGCTTCGACAAAACATATATCATAAATGAGTCCCAGCAATAAAAGCAATACAAAATGCTCTTTGTTGCATTGAAATGTTTAAAAGATACCTGTGTAAACTTAACATTGACTAGTAATATTTTCAAAATGAACTGAAAGGCTTTGTTTTTTGGGGGAGTTTGCTTTTGCTTTTTACTTTCCATGGTGTTTTGGAGGGGTTTAGTGTTTTGTTTTTGGGGGAGGCCTGGGATAACAGTATCACTAAAACCTAAATCTGAGCTGGGAACAGCATCCCTCCAATTGCTTGGAGTGAGCTAAGTCAACAACTGTAGCAGGGAAAAGTTTGTAGACTCCTGAAATCAGGACCTATTAGGTATGAAATTGATGTGAAATAATATCTTTTTAAGGTGTATGTTATATACAAGTGGTTGGGATTTTTGAAGGAGCTTATTGCCAGCCCCCAGCATTTACATTTCCTGAGCCAGTTCCCAAAATACCATGTTTTAAATTAATGTGTTATCGTCTTTCTATTTGCTAGCATGTTGTTAGCATAGTTCGAATTTCAAGCCGATCTCTGATCGTTCAGGTCTAGAAACTGACTGCTTTAATGACAGTGGAGTTGTGCATGTAATTGCAAGTACAGGAGCTGGGGCTTTACATCAAGCACTAAAACCACAAGTTGGCAACCCAGGACACCTAATAGCTTTGGATGCTTTGAAAATCCTAACCGTATTTTAAGTGTGTGTGTTTACCCTGTCTGCTTTCATATTGATGCCATTACTGCAGTGTCTGACCTGCTAAAAAATAGTTCTACTCTTACTTCCTGGCAGGTGAGACTTTAAAATGCTAGAATAGAAGTATGGTTGAGGGTTGAGTGTGCAGAATCCAGGGGAAGAAGGTGGTATTTGGCACACACAACCCTGATTGTGAGAGTAATGGGTCTCAGAAATGAATTCTATATTTCTTCCTGGCCATGTTCAAGTCATTCCTATCATAGCCTAGACCTACTCCTTTGAAAGTCTTCTCTTCTGCTTCATTCCTGCAACTTTCACGTTCATGGGTCCCAGCAAACCTTGCAGGAATGAAGCAGAAGAGACACACATACACTTACCTTAAAAAAACCTAGGCTCTGTTTATTTGACAGGAGGGCGGGAAGGGAAGGAAGAAGCCAGTGGCTTTCACCCCATCTCACATTGGCAGCTAGGTGGCGGTTCAATCTTTTCTCAGGTCCAATTTTTTGGGGGAATAGGTCAGTTCCATGTGTCAGCTTTCAGGCATAGACAGCCTTCAAGCCATCTGTTCTGCACCATCATCAGGACTGGCAACAGTCCTGTTCATACTGTTTTTGATTCTGATAGTTCTAGACTTCTGTTGCCAGGTGGGGAAGTCAGATTGCTTGAGAACTTTAAAACTGCTATAATACATTGAAAAGAACAAACTGGCATGCAGGGATGGATTACCCAATAGGCAGACTAAGCATGTGCTTAGGGCACCAGCAAAGCAGGGGCACCAAAAAAAGAAGAGATTTTACGGTATAGTATTGTTTTTATTTTGAATTACATATGGGGGGGGGCACCATAATCTTTTCAGTGCTTAGGGCCTCTAAAGGTCTTAATCTGGCCTGCTGGCATGGTTGGATGGCTGGACCATGAGATTGTACTTTCTCTAATTTCTATGAAAGGCAGGAATCCAGGTGAGAAGTTTCACAGTATGAATATATATCTTTTTAATTGTACCCACACTCTATGTGGAATCCAGCTAGTATATCCAGGAACTTCAGCTTGATTTAATACTCGAGTTCTAGCATAGTTCTTCTGGCTGGCAGAGTTTGGGATGTCTTATGATATTTGTGTGGTAGAAGTGTACTGTAGACTCGTCTAACACAGCTCATAGAAAACTATCTGTCTTACTTGCATTTGCCAGGAAACTGTTGAAGCTGCGGAAGTAACAAAATCTTACTGTTTTAATGGTTTGAACAACTTGATGTATTACCTCTGTAGAAATATACCTTACTAACATCACCACCCCCAACACACACACACATACATACCACCGCCATATGGCATTTCTGGGTGCAAAGATGCTTTAAACTAACATCTCAATTGTAGCAATCTAGTGTAGGGTAGTCTCAGCTACACCACTTCAGGACCTGTAACATCACACCATGTCCATTAAATTTCCTTGATCAGATTAAATGAAACTGCATCAGGAAAGGTCGACAACAGATACATTTTGTTGCTTTGTGCAAACCGCTTGTCAATATTGTCCTTTTCATATTGATTTCTGATCATTTAAACTTTACAGACTGGATCTTTGTATTGTCATGGCTCAGCATGTGTCAGCAGGTATCATTAAACACAGGAGCAGTCAGATGTATTAAGAGAGTAGGAGTGTAATATAATATATTACCTGTTTCTTTGGCCAGGTATCTGCCTATGGCCAGGCTCTGATGAATGATAACTCCGTCCACTTCTAAGATGGGGATTTTTCCAAATGGGATAGCTTTAAAAAAATCACAGATGGAAAACATGAGAACAATGTTAAACTCATCAGTGTAGTACTTTGCACTTACAATAGTGTCTTCCTCTGAGAATCTCAAAGCACTTAACTTTTTCACAGGACCCATAAGGTTCTGTTTTACACATGGATAAACAAAGACACAAGGTTAAGTGACTTTCCCAAGGTCACTTTGTGATGTAATGGTAGAGCAGGGAATAGAACTCAATTTTGTGCTCTTATGACTGAACGTGCTACCTCAGTGTGTGGAATTCTGCAGATCAATTAGCATGCAAGGATAATTTTCAGTAGGTTTATTTTTCTAATATTTTTCCTCCTAATAAGATAGAGTTTGGATGTTACAGACAAAGTGTCAGTCTAAACTTTATAACTCTGAAGAAATTAAGAGTTAGGTTTAGGGGCCGGTAGGGATGTGGAGTAACAAATTTATTTGTTGTTGTTTTAAAGAAAAATTATATTTAGTGACTCAGACATTTTTTCTTCCAAAAATACATTGTGGCAGGAAATACATCAAGCATTTCAGCTGACAGACCACCAGCAGAGGAACAATGGATGCAGAAGGGGCTATATTATAGTAAGGTTAGGCTGCTTCTGACACCAAGACACAAATTACAGATCTAATGCAGTACATTGTGACCTGGCTTCCATTCCACAGATTGGAGAAAAAAATAGTCTACTCCAGGCAAGCCACAAAGTCTGAGAAATTGGTAGGGAGGGAAGGTCTAACCAAAAGCAAAATTGGCATGGCTATTCCAAGAGACTAGGACAGGGGTGGCCAACCCATTAACAAAGAGAGCCAAAACAGCGAAAAACCGCACCAGAATTGTCAACCTCCCCCCCCACAACAACCCCCCCCCCCCCAAAAGCCCCCCAGAACAAAATTGTTGAGCAAAAACAAGAAAAGGAGGCTGCCCCTTTAAAACGGCCACCATCTTGGGCACCATTTTTAAAACTCCACAGCTCCGACCTGGTAAGCACAGGGAAGCCGGGGACCGGGGGGAGCCAGTGGGAGGCGGGGACCATTTGGGGGAGTGCAGGTGCAGCTTTGCAAATCGCACTTTTGGGGGGGCAAGATCTTCATGAGTCTCAGGTTGGCCGCTGCTGGACTAGGAGTTATCTCTGGTATCAATAGTGCAACTCAAATTTAGAGGAGACCAAAGTTTAAAAAAAGTTAAATAAAAATGTCATTGGCCCAGGAGTGTAATGTAGCTAGAAACTCAAGTTCTTCTTTTTTTATATCTAGGAGTCTTAACTGGGTTGGTACAAATCCTTGGAGATGTTAGTTCTGCCACATTCCCATCTTAATTGCATGTAGGTAGGTGGCTGTGAGATGGAAGGAGACTGAAGTGTAAGATAAGGCAGCCCAGAGGAAGAGGGGGCTCTATCTATTTGAAGCTGAGCAAAAAAAGCTAAGGAGTTGAGATGCATCTTGTTCCTTTACGGAGAGAAATACTGGAAGTGTGTACTCACCTGGCCTATACTAACCACTATGCCAGCCTCAGGACACTGAGGTGTAGGTCCACAAAGTGTGAGACCCGGAATAAAATGTTTTGAGGAGTTAGACGTTGGGGAGTGTGGTGGGGCAACTGCCCCACACTGGGGTTAATACAGGCTGGAGGGAGCCTGTGCAGAGCCCTGGCCAATCAGAGGGAAGCTTTTAAAGAACCAATCAGGGTGTAACTTGCTGGGGCCTCAATATAAAGGGAGCTGCCCAGCAGAAAGAGATAGTTAGGCCCTGACTAGGGAAGATGCAGGACCAGTTCCTAGAGAGGCATCTTTGCTAGAGCAATGCTGGAAGGCTAGCGAGAGGGAGACTTGCCTGAGTCCTGCCAGGCTGCTAGGCTTACCACTAGGGCCAGGAGGGAGCGAAGTTCACAGGGGAAGTGGCCCAGGGAATAGAAAACGGGAGAGGGGAATACAGGAGGGTAGGACAAGGCTGCTGCCAGAAGGCCCCTGGGTCGAGATCCACAATAGTGGGCGGGCCTGGGTCCCCTCCTTCCCATTTTTATACAACATCTAGCCACCGTTGTTTTGTGGCCTGGGAGGACTGCACCTTGCCCGTGAGGTGAGGGGCTAGACTTGGAGGCCACAATCAGCTACCGTGGCTGCAGAGACCCAGGACAGCTGATTAAACCTCTGAAAGAGGGATGAGACAGAGCTGTAGTGGGCACTGCTGGAGGGCAGTGTCCTGTAGTGACAAGGGTCCAGAATCAAACCGTGAACAGAGCAGAGTGATGGGAGAGACAGAGGGAGGCAACCTGCTGACAAGAGCTAATTCCCAGTGCTACCGGCAGGAGGTGCCGTGGTGGTGAGTCGCATCCTGGGACAGGCTATGAGAGGATCTCTGGAAATTCTCTATATGATGTAAAGTTGAAGGAGATTGTGTACCTAAAGAGTAGTGCAAGTCTCTCTATTTAAGACAAAGACCTGAGCATTTAGCATGGCAAGAGTCTGCCTGTGGGGAACTAGCTACCATACTATCTGCTCACCTACTGATGGAATTTTAAATTTCAAGCACTACAGAAAATGCTGTTCAGGTAAATTACAAGTATACCTGAGTGTTGATGATAGCAAGAAAATCAGACCCGATATCTTAGCCCCCTTAAAGTGAGTGTAAACATGATTTATGCTCATTTTGCAGCCCCTTTAGTCTGTCAGAACAGTGTAAAGAGATCATAGTGTAACTGATAATGGAAAGGAATGTTAAACTGCATTATACGTTATGCTAGATGGTACTGTGTATAAATTACTTTATTTAAACAAATCCCCACCATATTGGGCAGAGCATTAAAGGCTCCTGGGATGAATATATAAGCAAGCTCTGTGATGTGTCCATATCTGGTCCAGAAGAACATGAGGTGGTGTCAGGAGCAAACTAAGAAGAATAACAGAAGGAACAGAGCAGCAAAGGTTGCTAGATTCATCAGCATGCCATTCTTTGATGCCCCAGAGAACTTCATCTCTGAAAAACCTTCAGAACGGACTGGCTGGAAACAAGATTTTTCTCTGCAAACAAACTCCCCAAAGAAACTGAAGATACATAGGGGTTTTCTTTAATTTATGCTGTGGGAAAGTAAGAAGCCGGTATGTTTAAATCCTTTGACTTCACTGAAGACATTCACAAAGATGACTATGAAAGGGTTCTGGTTATGTTTGATGCATATTTTTTATGAAAGAGCATGTTTTCATCACAGAATTCAATAATTTGGAGGACATTTTGAATTTTTTATAAGAACTTCGCATATATTGGCTGAAAACCTGTGATTTTTGGAAATGCAAAACATGAAAATATCCATGTCTCGTTATTGGGTTAACAGTTTTTAAAAAAAAGCACAACCCTTTGGCAGCAGCCACAACTGAAGAGAGATTTAACCATAGGTGCAGAGAGCAAAGCAGTTGGAATTAGTCAAAATGACAAAAGGCAGGAACAATTTGAAAAACATGAAACTGGCATAGATGCTATAAAGAGACCCTTGAGTGTTAAGTAATTATGATAAAACTTTTGAGGAAAGGAGAGAGAACCTCCAGGTTTAGGAGGGCAAAATGCAGCCTCCATGCATGATATTTGAAAAAAGTTATTTCCCAAGAGTTGATGAGTGTCCAGCCAGAGATGCAAGATGTAATACTTGCACAAAATATGGACGTTTACAACTGTTTATCACATCAAAGCATTCATATAACAGATAATTGAGCCATTGTTTCTGGGATTGCTCACTTGTGATTATAGCGAACCCAGCTTTGAGAGTGGAACTAAACATTCATGGTGAGGCTATCGACCTTAAATTTGACTCAGAAGCTGATGTCACAGTTATCTCAGTAGGGACTTAAAATCTCCTTCAGCCCTTCCCAGAGCTGCAGATACTATTTAGCCCTGGAGGTATTTTTAACTGCATAAGCCAGCTAACCACAGAAATACAAAGACGAAAAGCTATGTGATCAACAGCCTTGTCAGCCTCAGAGTGTATCTAGTGAAAAAAGTGGAAGAATTCAATAGAATATTTAGTGACAGGGGACTTCAGAAAGGAAATCCAGTCTACATCGACTTAGCAGGATTCCTATCCCATTGTTGTTACATAACGTGGAAATTGAGTTGATTTGGATGGAATGGATTGTCCTAGTAATAGAGAATATCTCTGAGCTGTCTGCTTATTGTTCTCCTGTGTTGCCACTTTTAGGTTAACTAGCTCCTCTCCAGAGGAAGAGGCGCCTCAGACCCGGGATAGGTAGAGTGGATGTACATTAAGACTTAGTGGTGCCCCAAATTTTGGGGTGCACTACGCAGTTGCATATTTTGTGTATGGGTAAGGACAGCCTTTCCCAAGTCATATGTGATTTGACACCAACAGTGGAGAGTTCAACAGAAACCTTGGACATCTATAGTTTGTTCCTCACAGAGAACACTAACAGAGCGAACTCTGACGATGGCAGATGCAGAACAAGACAAAAACTCAAGGATACCAAACTGACCACAACCAATCTTTGCAACTAATGGACAGCCAGATGGCTATATGATTATACATTCAGGACATGAAAATGTTAACAATTCAGAGAGAGACATCAGACTGAGCTTCAAATACAGTGTGATGGCATAAATATGAAAAATGGTAGGAATATGCAACTTAAAGGGGAGATGGAATGTTAAACTGCATTAGATGAGGCAGCCACTGGGTGACACAGAGTTTAAAATACTTTAGCTCAGTGGTTCCCAACCTTTTCAAGCATACAGACCCCTTTTTAATCTATTAACATTTCACGGACTCCCCTCTCTGGGGAAGGAAAGGAAAGGAAAGGATCAGGCCTACCGTGGTGGACCCAATCCTTATTTTAAAACTTTCCACGGACCTTTTGCAGTACGGTAGTCCATGGCCCACCGTTTGGGAACCTCTGCCTTAGCTAACCCACTTCTTCAGATGACTGGAGTATTAAAAGTCCAGTTTCAAGAATAAATAAGGAAAAGCAGGGGGAAACGAAAAAAGAGATTTGGG